ACACACACACACACACACACACACACACACACACACACACACACACAGGTGATAGTCTGTGTATAGTTTTATTTGTGATGCGAGGTGATACAAACCAATTATTCACGGTTACACAAAAAACATCAGCGGCTACAGTCGGTTCATAGAGCATTTAAATCCATATAATTAAACAGTGACACTCTTCCTCATCATCATCATCATCATCGTCATCATCATTATGACAACGTAACAGCTAAATCAGGAAGTGACATCAGAAACACGCTCACAAGGCAAATCACGCACAAACATTCAGTCTGTACGTCACATGACACACACACACACACACACACAGACACACACACACACACAGACACACACCTGTGTAATTAGCATGACATACAAAAAGCTGTAGAAAAATACTCTTAAAAAACCAAACACACAAAACAGCAACAACAACAAAAACAACAACTTGGAATGTTCTGGATGTCAGTTAGACGTCAGCATGGAGGCAACACCGGGCAATTGAATGGGCAATTTTGTTGGGCAACTCCTCTACTGGGTCATAAACATCGTGTCCTCTGAATTTAAAATCTTCTTTCCTTCTGAAACCGTTTGTTTTTAATAAAGGTTAATAGATGACGCTCCCTCTTTGTAGAAGATGCACAGAATAAGAAGTTACATTGTTGAAATAATGTAAAATAATCTGTCAATTAAAAAGCCTAAAAGGAGAAATAAAAATGATTCTGGACCGTACGTCTGGACCGTACGTCTGGACCGTAAGTCTGGACCGTACGTCTGGACCGTAAGTCTGGACCGTACGTCTGGACCGTACGTCTGGACCGTAAGTCTGGACCGTACGTCTGGACCGTAAGTCTGGACCGTACGTCTGGACCGTACGTCTGGACCGTACGTCTGGACCGTAAGTCCGGACTAAGTCTGGACCGTACGTCTGGACTGTACGGAGCCTCTGAGGATATTATCTTTATAATATCTCGTAACATGAGACGTAACAGCACAAAACAAGTCATGTAGGACTGATTTCTGCCTTTTGTGTTAAAATGAATAAAGTTAAATGTCGTCCATCAAAGTTGCCCGAATAAGTTGCCGGTGTGTTTTTAGAAGCAAAGCGATCCTCTCTCTCCGTCTCACACACACACACACGTACAGCACGATGTTGTACAGGTAACACGGCTGTTTTCTTGCTGCTAAGTTTAAGTACAGGCACTACAGAGTGAAGCATTGTGGGACGTTGAGTGCTCAACTGGTCTGGTTACGATAGCAGCTTTTAGAAATTCAGAACGTCTGAATGTTGTGATTTTTTTATGATTATCAAAAGTTTCAACACTCGAAGCAGAAGATCGGACGACGTCGTGTATATAAAGTGTGTTTACATCCAACGCACGACAATGAGTTCACTTAAAGTCTGTATCAATGCAACAATAGTCTAATAATCTAACAATGACATCCTCCCGTCAGGGTGAAGAGCATCAGGGAGTTTATTTCCTCTGAGTGAGTGCCGTCACGACGCTACGAGTAGAGCAAGAACCAGAACAGGCAACGTGTTTATGGAGCAAAGTCGACAATCATTAAAGCTTCATAAACCACTAACATCCAAACACAACTGCTGAACACTCGGGGCCTCTTCACAGCTCGGACCAACCGAGCTTTGTGTTCAAGTTACGTTGTTCAGATTTAATCCGCTTAGTTTGTGTTTCACATCGCATGATGTCAGAGCCCCAAAGAACTGCTTTACATCCGTCACAAAGCTCAACCGCGTCACGCCGTCCACGAAAAAGATTCTCCAGACTAGTTCTGAGATTTCATACTTAGAATTTTGGTTCGGATCAAACTGAAAAATCCAAAACGTTGTAGCAGACGAGGTGTGAAAGGGCCCTTTGTGATGCAGATTAAAGACCACTGAGGTCATGGCGTCGACACATTTTACTTCACTGACCGGATCCATTCGGTCTCTTTTCCTGTTTTTTGTTTTTCGTACAGAAGTTCGTACAGAAGTTTGTGGGAATTCAATTTGAGCAACATTTTTTTTTGACTTTTTTGACAGAGTGGATTCAAACCAGAGAGAAATATTTCACTGTTTCAAATACATTGATATTTAAATTCCATAATCAGGTATCCAGCAGCGGTTGAACGTCAATAGATGTGTAGTTAGATTAGATTTAAAATCTTCCACACACGACAGAACGACCGTTATCTAGTGAACGCTCAATCGTGTGAACGTGAAGTCTAATTGCAGCTCTATGAGCTAACTAGTTAGCATCTGTAATATGAGTTTATACGACTGCTCATACAGCAGCTGGCATCTGAATGCTATCAGCATAGATAGAGGCACAGGTAGAGGAACACAAGGTGTGTGTGTGTGTGTGTGTGTGTGTCAGTCGGTCAGGTACGTGTGGATGTAGATCTGTTGTTGGATCCAGGAGGTGAAGTGCGTCACGTTGCTGTAGACGCCGGGTCCGAGCACTTTACTGAAGCACACGCTGCCCCACGACGTCAGGCCGAACAACGTCCACCGACCGCTCACCTCCTCGCACACCAACGGGCCGCCGCTGTCGCCCTGAACACACACACACACACACACACACTGTAAACACACTGCGCGGTTGTGTAGAAAGCCGACCGGCTGTCGGTGCGGATGTTACCATGCAGGAGTCGACGGTTCCAGCGTCGTAACCGGCACAAAGCATCCTGGGAGTGATGGTCTTCATGTCGAAGTAAGACTGACACTGAGACAGCGAGATGATCCGAACCTCCCCTTCCTGCAGCTTGAAGGGCACTGGACAGACACACACACACACACACACACACACACACACACACACACACACACAATCAATAGGAACATCTAAAGCGCTCTGATCACAGCTGGTGTAAATGAACTGGTTACTGACAAGTTTAAGTTTCCTCTAATGTGTTCTGTGTGTTTGTTTCTTGTACTTTATATCTAGGGCATGCATTATACCAGGGTCCTCTCAAAGACAGAAGTACGCGGATGTGTGTGTGTGTGCACTCACTCCTGTTGCCCATGTGACCCCAGCCTGTGATGTAACAGTAGGAGTCAGGAGCAGGAAGCTGGTCGGGTTCAGGGAGACACACCGGCCTGACAAACGGCGTCTCCTCGACCTGAAAACACAGACAACACAAAGTAAAAATAAATGAGTTATTAATATTCTTCTTCTGTCCTTCAATAAAAACAGTTCAGACAGCCAGTGCTTCATGAGAAGAAGAATGAACGTCCCCACAGTGGTGTGTGTCCATCTGTGTGACAGCGGGGGATGGGTCCTCAGTATTTTATTGATACTCTTATTGGTTCATTTTTATTATGTTGTGAGAAAAAAGAGAATTAATTAAGAAAACAATCCACATTTCTTTATTATTCTTGTATGTAAACAACTATATATATGTATATATATATGTGTATATATGTATACACATATATACACAACTATATATATGTATATATATATGTGTATATATGTATACACATATATACACATATATACGTATTGATAATCAATGCAGTGTCTCTGACCTCAGAGTCCAGCTGCACCACACTGATGTCGTAGTCCACCACCGCCCGGTTGTACCGCGGGTGCACGATAATGGAACGCACCCCGCGGCTCTGACTGTGGACTCCTGGGTGGTCCAGGTTGTTGAGACCCAGAACCACCTTCCAGAGGTCGGGGGTCTCCCTCCTGCAGGACAGACAGGTTAGGGAGGACAGACAGGATCAGGTCCAGCTCTTTAACATACGGAGACAGTCTCCCCCCACCCTCTCTCTCTCCCCCCCGTCTCACCCCTCAAAGCAGTGGGCGACGGTCAGAGCCCACCGCCGGTCGATGAGGACACACCCACAGACGTGACCGCTCTGTCCGCTCTGCAGTGAGCACTGCCAAGGCCACGCCCCCCTCCGGGAGACACGCCCTCCCAGAATCCTCTTCCTCCTGTGGGGGAAGACACCCAACGACGGACGCAGACCGCACGCTGATGGACAGACAGAGAGAGAGACAGAGAGAGACAGAGAGAGAGCGACAGAGACAGAAACAGAGAGAGAGAGGGAGAGAGAGAGACAGAGAGAGAGACAGAGAGAGAGAGAGAGAGAGAGAGAGAGCGACAGAAACACAGAGAGAGAGGGAGAGAGAGAGACAGAGAGAGGGAGAGACAGAGAGAGAGGGAGAGAGAGACAGAGAGAGGGAGAGACAGAGAGAGAGAGCGACAGAAACAGAGAGAGAGAGGGAGAGACAGAGAGAGAGGGAGAGACAGAGAGAGAGGGAGAGAGAGCAACAGAGACAGAAACAGAGAGAGAGAGGGAGAGGGAGAGACAGAGAGAGAGGGAGAGAGAGACAGAGACAGACAGTCTTACTCTTCCTCTACCTCTATCATGTAGATCATTTGGATGAATTAATATTAATGTGTAACATTTAGAACTTCTTTTAATAAATGACTAATCAATGCTTCACAGATCATTAATAAACATAATAACTTGTCATGATATTTAAATACATATTTAGTGTTTGTCTCCATCTGGTGGTCGTATGAGGAACGACACACTTAAAATCATTCAATCTGATTTGAACCAATCGTCCAATCATCGATCCGTAGATCAACAGAAAATGAACCTTTTTTTTTAATCGTTAAAATAAACTTCAGAGTATTAATTATGAAAATAATTATTAGTTTCAGAATAATTTAGAGATTTAAAAAGATGTTCAGATCATAATAATAAAAAATCTGAATATTTACCTTCTCTGGTGCACAGCAGTGAGACTCTCCTCCTGGAATGACACGCATGACTGTAGACAGACAGACAGAGAGACAGACAGACAGAGACACAGAGACAGACAGACAGAGA